AAATGAGCGCCACATGCATATTTATTCCGCTCTCTTTCATTTGAGCATCCGTGTCTTTTATATCGTTATGCTTTTCGCTCAGTGGACTTTCTTCATGTGGCGCTCATTTTATTCGGCTCAAACTCTCCCATTAATTTCTATTTTATTTTTCCTGTGAACTAAGTAATATTCAATTTTCGTTTCCTTCCGCAAATGTTTTATTTCTTTCATCAGCTCTTTCTTCGATTCTCATGCTGAGTTGCTGCTGCTGATTTGCTAGCAACGTGTGCTTATTTACTAGATTGTGCTTTTCTTTTGTTCTTCAATCAATCACTGATCTTGTAGTGATTAGTGTGCTTTGAAGTAGGCTTTCTACTCCCATTTCTTTGGCAACACAGGTGAATCATGTGTGTTTGGCTGCCAGACTAGCTCTCTCCATGAATACTTCCCATGCATTCGATACCAGCACTCCTCATGATATTCTAATAAGACATAGAGTCTTCACTATCTTGATCCGGTTTTGCTTAATGTTGTACATTCTATCTCTTCTTCTTAGATGACTCCGATGACGAAGAACGTGTGGAGAAGATTTATAGCTTGGCGCGGCCTTTGGCTAAAAGAACAGGTGCCGAGAGCGGAAAGGATGAAGAGGTTGCGAATTTTGATTGTTTCTGCTATGACGCGAAGTTAAAGCTGTCATTTTTTAGGAGGCCGTGGAGATGTTTGGGGATGATGACAATGCCTTAGCCGAGAAAGTTAAAGAATCCAAACTTATCAAGTAAAATTTAATGCTACGGAGCTTTCCTGACCAGCTAAGCATTTATGAAATTTTTTTTCTAGAAATCTATTCAAAGGACTAGTTTTCTTCCTCAATAGAGAAACTCCTAAGGAAGCATTGACATTGATAATTCGTAATTGTGGAGGTGTGGTTGGTGAGTGATTCGCTTCTAATGGATCTTGTACACTTGATAATTAACGCTGTTGTAGGATGGAGTGGAGGTCCCACTAATTTGGAAGAGTCGAACTCATCTATCACCCATCAAATTGTGGACCGACCTATGTCGAAATTCGATGTTAACCGGTACGAATTCGCCACAGTCTCCAGAAATCAATAGTCTTTCACTTGTTTTTTTTGTTTTCCTTTATTTTACGTTCACTGAAAACACCATTTCAGAAGGTACATCCAACCACAGTGGGTGTTCGACTGCTTGAATGCTCGACGAAAATTGCCTACGGAGAAGTAATTTTTTGTTCGTTCATATACAGGCGAATAACCTTCGAGACAAATCAATTTTAATTGAGGGCGGGCAATATTTTAGGTATATGGTAGGTGTTCAGCTACCTCCACACTTTTCACCTTTCACAAAAGACAAGCCTGGAGATTATGTGCCTATGGAAAGACTAGAGGAGTTGAGAAGCATCGGGCAAGGTCAGGTGTCTAAAGTTTTTGTTTCACTCAATATCATTTCCAAGGAAAAGTTTCGAGTGGTCTGTACTCCTCTAGTCTTTCCATAGGCACATAATCTCCAGGCTTGTCTTTTGTGAAAGGTGAAAAGTGTGGAGGTAGCTGAACACCTACCATATACCTAAAATATTGCCCGCCCTCAATTAAAATTGATTTGTCTC